GCCATGGACTTCCAGCCTCCAGAACTCTGAGAAAATAAATGTCTGCAGTTTCAGCCACCCATTCTGTTTGGTGTGTCTGTGTGTGTGTGTGTGTGTTGGTTTGTTTTTGAGATAGAGTCTCACGCTGTCACCCAGGCTGGAGTGCAGTGGCGCGATCTCCGCTCACTGCAACCTCCGCCTCCTGGGTTCAAGCAATTCGCATGACTCAGCCTCCCAAGTAGCTGGGATTACAGTCGTGAGCCACTGTACCCGGCCTCTGTGTTTTATTCTCTTAAGGCAGCTGGAGCTGACTAATACACGCCCTAAACAGGAATAAGCTCTCTCAACTTGAGGAGGCTTTCCAGCGTAACCCTGGCCCATAACCAGGAGGTGAGGACAAGAGAGACTGACATTGCTCCTGCCGGCCTCCCCTCACACCACGACCGGCCTCCCCTCACACCGCTACCAGCCTCCCCTCACACCGCTACCGGCCTCCCCTCACACCGCTCAACCTTCGTCAACTCACACCCAGAATCTTCTCCGCCAATATCCACACGCAGCTGCGACACGGCAAAGGCAGACACCCAAGGACACTGTGTATCATAAACTGTCTCAGGATAAAACAACTCTACCCAGCAACACGTGGGTGCTCCTCATGTACGGCCTGCAGAAGCACTTAACCCCAAATTCAAGCTCTGTCATCCCTAGTCTCCTACCTAGACATGAGGGCCAGAACCAAGTGCGTCATGTTATTCTGACATTAAAATGATGGTGTATGTGAAAAGGACTTTGCAAACGATGAATGAGCGTGCATGCATTAGTACATGCCATTCTCTCATCATGGCGTTTTATTTAGGTCCTCATTAACAATTGGGCAACAGGAGCACCCCACTTCACAAAACTGTCTCAAAAGAAGCAACTGCACTACTTAAAATTCTGAGTGCACTGGAAGCTTCTTTTCTTGAAAACACTACAAATACAATAGTAGAAAGAAGGGGTGACACAAATAACTAACTTACCGGGCCAGGATCACAAACACTCTGCCCAGCGTTTCGAACTCAGGTTGATATGAACAGACTAACCTACAAAAGCAAACCATTCAGCCAGCCCACCAGGTAACGCAGGTGGGTATGCGTCTGGCTTTGTTTCTGTTGTTGCCGTTGTTGTTTTTAAAGGTAGCTTCAGGACTACAAATGACTCATGTGACAGAAAATTTGCCAAATAGAGAGGCCAACAGACTAAATTCTCCCATTGTCTGAACATCCTGAGGTCAAAGCCTTCCAGAGTAGACAGAAGTTTCTGAGATTTACAAGAATGCTGGAGATCTCGTACCACTCGAATCTCAGTGGGAGGCTAGAGCTCCAATACCGACAGGCTGGGAACTCAATATTCACATATTCAATAAGTATTTGTTGCGCACCCATTGTGTATAAGTGGCAAGACCAGTCTGCCCCCAAGGGGTTCAGAGTTTATTAAAGAAAAGATGAAGGCAAAAAAAAAACCATAGGGCAGGGCATGGTGGCTCAGGCATGTAATCCCAGTACTTTTGGAGGTCAAGGCAGGAGGCTTACTTGAGCCCAGGAGTTTGAGACCAGCCTTGGCAAAGCAACAATACCCTGTCTCTACAAAAAAATGAAAATAAAAAAATTCACTGGGCATGGTGGTGCACACCTGTAGTCCCAGCTACTCGGAGGCTGAGGTGGGAAGATTGCCTGAACCCAGAAGCTCAAGGATGCAATGAGCTGTGATCGTGCTACTGCACTCCAGCCTGGGTGACAGGGTGAGACCCTGCTTTAAAAAAAAAAAAAAAAAAAAAAAACCTGTAGGAAAGAATATCACAGATGACAAACCAGGGACACAAAGAGTGTGCCGTGGAGGTTTAAAGATGATGCCATCCCCTCTAGTTTGGAGTTGATAAGATGTGGGGAAGAAAAGAAATAAGAGATGACCCTTGGGATGAGTAAGAACTCAGGACACCGAGGCGACTCAGCCTGGTCAGGGACAGTGACACAGTGAGACATCACTGTGACACTGCTACCTCAATCAAAATAACTTTCATTTCCACAGTTTCGAGAAATAAGATTCTGGAGGTAAGGAATGTATGTGCCAGTGCATGTGCGTGTGGATGTGTGTCACTGGGCAGAGGTAATACTTGCTAATGCTCAGTTACCTTTAGAAATAAACATACTTTGGGATATGTTCAAAGGAAAATGCAGGAAAAGAATAGAGTCTAATTTTGTAATTGTGCTACTAAATGGCCTAAAGAAATGCAAAACTATTTTTGCTTTAGCTGCATACTTTTGATAACCCATTAAAAGGCTATCATGACCTTCTTCTGAGTTGGCTTAACTCAGGCATGGAACAACACACACGAAATCACGTTTTAGCTTAGGCCTTGTGAAAACGTGCCGTGAAGTACTTCCATCACACATTTTAGGAAAGAGAAACCATTTGGAAGTGCCACTTGCCATCTCTCTGGATGGGAAAACTAATTTCCTAAGCCTCTGAAGTGAGTTGTGGGGAGTTTCCAGTTCACTTGTGAAAACAGTTTTCCCAAACATCGCTCATCATCCTCCCCTGCAGTTCCGGCAAGCAATTTTGGGCTCTTCAGTCATTAAGCCTCATTTTTAATGTCAGAGAATGAATTTCACAAGCCTTGTCTCCCCCAGTGCACATGGCAAGCCAGTCCGAGCAGTTAGAAAAATGGGTGTCCCATAGAGCAGCACAGCCTGCTCTAGCCAGGGCAAATTAAGCTAGTGCAACTGATCAAGTAAAGGACTCCAGTACATTCTGCGCCATTCGCGGAGTCTTAGGGTATTTTAAAAGGTTATCCAGTCTGTGCACATGCAAGGAAGACTTCCGGTGTATTTAAAATGGATGATAGTGCATTTCTCAAATATAGTACTGTGTACATAAGATCTGCTGTTTGTTGGAAAAGCTAAATAACCCAAAATGTAAATGACAGAGCCTGGGAATATGTCAGGGTCAAACAGAGCAGGGATGAAGAAGATTTAAGTATGCAGCGCGTCCTAAGCAAAACACAAAGCCTGAAAACTGAGCACAGCCACCTGCAAGGCACCTTCAGCGAGCCCCACGGTTAACAGGGTCAGTTTCTCCACAAGTGGACAGAGGGGCTTATGCAGCAGCCAACTCTTCCTGATGGTAATTTGTGACCCAATTTCATCCCGTGTTTCATGATCAATCCCCCTGAATGTTTATGAAGCAGGAAAGAAGCTCAGAATACAGGAGAGGCCTCCCGGACAGGAAGTGGGCCAGGCACCTCCACAGCTTCCTATGCCTAAAGTTCTCCATTTCAGCCTCAAGTAGCCGCCAGAAGACCACTAAGATTCCGCCACCTTCTCCAATCAAAACTACATCTAACCAACCTTCAGGGGAGAATATACTGAGGTAGGATTTTCCCTTGTGTTCACTTCTTCACAAGCAGGGTTAACACTTGCTTCTCAGGAAATCCCTGTTCCAAACATCAAAAAACCTCCATGTCTAGCCCAATCTCCAGGTGAAGTCAATTTCTTCTCCATGTGTCCGATGACTGCCATTCTCCTTACATAAAACTCGCATAGGCTTGAATCCTGTTACTAATTCACCTGCTTATCTATGAGGGAGTGTTCACAAGCACAGTTCCGTTTCGGTAAGTTAAAGCAGCCCAGGTTAATTTCATTTTCCATCACTTTTGAGACTTGATAACTACGTCTAAAACAGAGGCATGAAAAACACCCTGAATCACTTTCATTCCTACACAAAATCCCTTCCGAGAAGCGGGGACTGGGCCAGGAAGGGACTCCCCTACCTGTGGGTCCCACCAAGCCACGCCCACCGGCCCCTCAGGGTTGTTTCTTTCTGGGTCGAGGGACGGAGCTGGCCCATGCGATATTTTAGGCCCCCTCCTGCTCACACTGGGGCCTGCTCATCCCATTATGCATATGCAAACTTGGCAGAAGCGGCCTTAAACCTGTTGGCAAAATAAACAAAGCCAAATAAAGAGGAATCTGCCAACCTAAATTGTGAGAAGTGACCAAGGCCGACTCCACGACTCCACGACTCCACGCACGTTCGGCTTTGTCCCTGAAGCTGCTACAAAACTAGTTTAAGTCAGGTGCCTGGGGTCCACCAGCCAATGACCCCTAGCATCCAGCGCAGACTTTCACAGAGATCCTTATTGTCTACAAATTACAGCGTTTTGCAAATTAAACCCCTCCCCACAATGCCAAGCTAACTGTGCTGGTAAGGGAGTTACCGTCCATGCCTTAAAACTCACACATCAAATTTTTCCAAAACCACTGGGTGATTAAATCGCCCTGAAAAAAACGAGAAGGCCGAGCGATTGTGAGAAACTTTGGTTCAGGTGGCTGTAAGAGTCCTGTAAATCTGGGGCAGGGCGCAGAGCCTGAAGCCGGGCACAAAAGCTCCCTTCGCCGAAGCGAGGACCTTCTTTATGCGATGTGACAGCAGCTTTGTGCGCGATCATAAATAGTTGTAATAAACACAGTTAAGTTCTCCCGGCCGATCGCGGCCTCCCCGGTCCCTGCGCCGGGGCCCTGCGATCCGCGGCTATTCTTCCCTGGCACACGCGCCCTGGCGACCCTGGCCACCGCACGGTCCCACGCTAGCCCGGAGCTCCGTGCCGGCCGCCCGCCCGCAGGCCAGGCGCAGCCTGCGCACCCGGGGGTCTCCAGTCCCCGGGCCCCGCCGCCGGGCCCCCTGCCCTGATCCCCGCCCGCGCCCTTGGCTGGCGTCCCCGCCCCTGCGCCGGCCCCCGATGGTGGGGGTTGGGGATGGGAAAGCGGGCAGGAAGGTGCCGAGCCGGGAGATGCCCGGCAGCCCACGGTCGGGGGCGCCCAGGCCGCGGCGGGGCCGAGAGTACCGGTGGGGCGCGGGGGGGACCCGCTCTCCCAGCCCCTTCCCGGGCGCACCCCGGCTCGCGAGCCCCGCCGCGCTCCCAACTCCGCCCAACGACCCCAAGTTTGTGGCCCCCCGCCCCGCGCTTGCCTGGCCGTGCTTACCTCGCCGTGGGCCGCCCGCGGAGCCGGAGGGCAGCGGCGCGGGTCCCGGGGCGGCGGCCGCGCTGCGCCCGCCCAGGCGCCGCTCTTTGTCTGCGCCGCTCCCTCCTCCCGCCGCCGGGCGGACGCTGCCGGCCCGGGCGGACCCCGCCGGCCCGGGCGCCGCGAGCCTCCCCGCAGCCGAGCCCTCCCCTCCGCCCGCCGCCCGCTCGGCCGCGCGGCTCCGGCCTGACGATCCCGGCGGCGGCGGCGGCGGCGGCGGCGGCGGCGACCCTCCCCCGGCGCGCAGCGCCCGCCTCCACCGCGCTCTTCCTCCTCCTCCCGCGCTCCTCCCCGGCAGCGCCGTGACGCCGCCCAGGGGCCGGCCCAGGCCCGGGCACGCGGGGCGGGGACCCGAGACCCACCTGGGGCGCCCCCCGGCGCCGCCAGGCTCCGCGCCCGGGTCCCGGTACGGGCGCGGGTATAGCGCGGGGCTGCGGGACGCTCCGCTCTGGAGGCGCAGCACTGGCCCGGCGCCGGGGACAGGAAAGGGTCCCCACGCCCGAAATTGCGCGCGGGCGGTGGGGGGCAGGCTGGGTGGGTGGGGAGGAGAGTGAAAACATAGGCTCCAACTTCCAGCCTGGGATGACTGCCGGGTGGGCTTTGCGTCCTCTTTTTGTTTGCTTGATGTCCTTATCGCGAAGCTGTAGTTGCTGGGCAGCCGCCCCCCTCCCGGAAGCATTCCCACGGCACTCAGCTAAGCAGGCCTGGTGTCCATCAGAAAAGTGACTTAAATAAAAATGTCACTTCCTCCTTGTAATTGCTTGTGGGCATTTTTATTTATTTGCCTTGCATCTATTTACTTTCCCAACCAGACACGTTTTTAGTCCATCATCCCTGTCCGGGGCACTTCGTAAAAGGAGAAGAAACTCGACCTCTGTTGCCTCCCAGGCATCCAGGCCTGCCCCAGCCAGTGGAATTCTGGTTGCACACCCATGGGGACAGAAACCGAACAGGAGCTGCCCGAATGTGCCCCGAGAAGGAGTGTCGCTAATGATGGGACCGTTCAGCTCACTCAGCCTCAAGTTGTGGCTAGCCTATAAACAAACTTGGAAGATTAAAACCCAAAAGCAAGGGGAAAGACGCAAGTTTCCCTTTCACAGACCCATGCATCCGGAAGTCTTTTCTCCTCCCCATATGGTTTCCCAAAGGAAATCCTAATATTCAAATGATTCTGATTTCCTGGCAGGATAGCCTGCATCCATGTTAATGAGATTCTTTCTTAGGCTGCCGGTCTCTGCTTACTATTAAGACAATAATAATTTACCCAAGGTTACAAGGTAGTATTATTTGATTCAGTCATCTGCTTCCTTCCAGAAAGGAAGTACCCGAGGACAGGTAACTAGAGTCAGTGTAGCTTTGAAGTCAGACAGGTGAGTGTTTGTCGACTTCCTGAACTGTATAACCTTGCACAGGTGGTCCTTAGCCTTTCTAACATCTGTCAAATGGGGAGATAATATTTACCTACCTCCTATGTGAAGGACCCTGGCAGTAGGTAGCCCTCAATAGCTCAGTAAGTGGAAGAAGGCACAGTACACTGAGCAGGGATCAGGTACAAGCTCAGGGAATCAGGACAGCCTCCCTTTTCCTTGTTTTGATCTTGTGAAAGAAGCTACCTCAGTTCATCCTTCTGTGTAAGCCTCGTGTTACTAACATCTAGCTTTACAATAAGGAAAGAAGAATACTAGTCATCAGTCTGCCCAATTTTAAATTAATTTACTCAAAATAAGTATAACCATGTTGACCCAGTTTCTAGCTTGTTTGCTTTGTAAACTTTCACTGAATCATGGTTGTTGCATGCCTCTTCCTCCTCTGATTTTTTAGAAAGTCACCGATGTCATTATCTATCTACATCCAGTGGCCTTTTATCAATCTTTAGCCTCTGCAGTTTTCTGAAGTATGTAGCATTTCTGCTATTTCCAGAAACACCATCATCTTTTCATTCATCAAACACAGCCAGTTCTGATTCTCTTACCTTTCTGACCTGCCGATCTGCCTCCTCTAGAGAGTTTGTTGTCTTCCCACCCTCTAAAAGTAATATCCCCAAGGCAGATGGTGGTCCTTTGTTTTTATTCTGATATGCACCTTTTTTTTTTTTTAAGAGAGAGGTGATTGTTTTTTGTACACTCCCTGTCTAAACCTTCATTGATTAACTCCCGGACCCGTAGCCTTAGAGAGCTCTCCAGCTAATCTGCACTCCCTACACATGGCCCAGCATCTCTTCTAGGTCACCATGTTCAGAATGAAACTCATCTCCTCCCCAGACCAGCTCCTCCTCCCATGGTTTCAGGCCTGGCCAAGAGTCTACCAGGCACCTCAGCTCCTGGGAGAAACCTCATTGTCGTCTTGGCTTTTCCTTCCCTCTCTCCAAGTTCTCCCCAAGAAAAGCCAGAAGAGCACTGAATGACACGAAGACCCCTTTCAGTCTGCCTCCATGGTTCTGAGTTCTGGTGATTCTTAAACATCTTTTTAACTGCACCTTTCTTTCCCTTTCCATCACTGGCATCGTAACTTATACATCATTCCTAGCAATGCTTATAAAGTATTTTGATTGAATTCTTGACATAAATCATCTCTAATCCACACACAATAGTATTGTCCCCATTTTACAGATGAAATCACTTGATCAGTGGATCAAATAACTGGGGTCAGAACTGCATGTACGTGACTTCAAAACTCTTGTTCATTTCCCCACAACTGCCTTCCAAGTGGTCTCCCATTACTTACTTATTAAATCCCTCAGATTTGCACTGAACATCAATGTCATCCTAACCTTCCTATAAATTGCTTCCATTTGCCGGTGGTTGTGCTTAAGAACTTCTCATGGCTCCCCATTGCCCACCATGGTCTCCTCAAAAGTTATGTGATGACAGAAGACTGAGCATTTTCCCCCGGGGAGGCTGGGGGATTTAGCCCTGAGAGGCCTGAGTTTCCTGGGGCTGCCTTAACAAATGACCGCAAACTGGGTGACAAAACAGAGGTTATTTTCTCAAAGTTCTGGAGGTCAGAAGTCTGATATCAAGACACTAGCCTCTCTCCGAAGGCTGTAGAGGACAATCGTTCCCTGCCCCTTCCAGCTTCTGGCGGCTGCAGGCATTCCTTGGCTTGTGGCAGCGTCACTCCCACCTCTGCCTCTCTGTCTTCACACAACCTGGTTCCCTGTGTCCTTTCCCTTCTCTCTTTTTGTAAAGACAAGTATCATTGAATTTAGGGCTCACTGTAATCCAATATGATGTCATCTCGACATCCTTATCTTACAACATCTGCAAAGACCTTTTTTCCAAATAAGGTCCCATTCTCAGCTTCCAGGTGAACATATCTTTTAGGGCCAACATCCAACCCACTGCAAGGCTTAATATGGGGGAGACATTTCCTTGAAGCTTATGTTTTATCTAAAACTATACAGGTTTTTCTGCATTCTATTCCATTAATGTGTCCACACCTGTTTTACTGTCTTCAATCACAAAGTATTGAAAGCATAAAAAACATAGAATGGAAGGAGGTGTAGTACACTTTTGTCTAAAATCCCATCAGCATTACACCTTATGACCTCTCTTCCAAAGGCCTCTCAAGCTTAGTCCTGCCATACAATCTCCTTTTTACCTCTGTCCAGTGTAAGCTGTTTGCTTCAGTCACTGAGCTCTGCCCACAGTGCCACACTGAGTCACACTAGTTTCAGCCTTCTGTGGTGTGAAGGCGGTTAGGAATTCCCTGTCCCCCTCCTTCTCTTTCAGATCTCCATTCAAGGCTTTCTCTAATCCCTCCTTGGACTCATGGAAAACATAAAGCGAGGTTGAGGGTGCTGTCCAAGTCAGACGTCAGAGGCTCAAAGCCTACCTTCAAGCCTGTGCCTTGGGGTCATTTCACCTCTCTGAGCCTCAGATATTAATAGTGCTCTTGCAAAGCGTTGTGAGAATTAAAGGAGATAATGTAAACGTGTCTCAACTGTGTGTTCAGCACATGGTGAACACTCATGTCTGCTTTCTCATGACCTTCTCTCTTAACCATCAATTCAATGAAGCATATCTGGTGTAGTTCTATTTGTAAGGCATTATAAGGTCCACTTCAGGATTCATTCATTTGATGCAGATACCAAAGAACACCTGGATGTGCAAAGAGCAGATATAAGATTGCATTATTCAGAGAGGTGATAACGCAAACTGGAGTGGAGTGAACGGATGGGAAAATAGTTTAGGAGACATGGAGAGGAAAGATCCAAAAAGAAGGTTGAAACGAGCATACAAATAACTGTAATATAAAACTAGATATGAACAGTACCAAAGAAAATATGTCTGGAGAATCAGGAGAGGATTTAGGCTTTAGGCTTTATGAAAGGTGGTGGTGTTGGCAATGACCTTGAGAGATGACGTGGTGAGAAGCTGCCTTTAATTGGGCTGCCCTGTGTCTAGCCCCTTCCTGGTTTTAGAGAGACCTGTCTAAACCCTGGAGGGAGGCAGAGTGGGCACCTCGGTCTCTCCATTCCCGGAAGCCCTGTGAGAATGAACAGCCTGGAATTGGCCAGTGGAACCCTCCTACTCAAGACTGTGAAACTGGAGAGGGTGACAAGGACAAGGGAGGGTGAGATTCAATTTGCCATAGCTGAAATAGTCCCAGCACGTCCCTCCCACAGGAGTTAGCCAGCTCCATTCTCACCCCTTCTGCTCTCCAGTTCCCCTGTGAGCTACTTGATATTCTTCTAGTAAATTCTCCTGTTCTGCTTAAGGTACCCAGAGGCACTTTCTCTTTTTGCAACCCAAACCCCTGAATAATGCAGATGGTAGCATTTTGAAAGGTGGAGATAGACAGGGAGAAAATTCTCAGTGGCGGCAGCTCAGAACCCTGAGGCAGACGGGAATGTGGGAGGACTCCGTAGGGACAAGGAATGGCCCACTTGCCTAAATGGACCAGAGACTGCACAGAGCGGATCGCGAGGCCAAGAAGGAAAGTGGTTACGTGTGGACATCATCTGGGCTCAGCCCAAGAAGACACAATTGGTGCATGCACGGAAGGACAGCTGGAGACAGGAAGAGCAGACAAAAGTTCGCATTTCCAAGAGAGTTCATAACCCCAACTGCAAATGGATGGGAAAGTGTTTTAGGAGAAATGGAAGGGGAGACTCAAAATGAATTGGCAGCTGCTTGGATGTGGGGGACCAAAGAGAAAGAGAATGGGGCACGAGTATAACCTGAGGCTTTGGATGCCCACATCCACAAAGATAACGGTGCC